TAATAAGCAATCTTAGTTCCATAAAGGAAAAGTAAAGAGTGTTTAAGGGTGCATAATAAAATAATGTTTTAGAAGTTTAAGCTTCAGTTTCCTAGGATGCTTTAATAATGGGAAAGAGTGGAGGAAGGTCGCCAGAAGAAATGACTGAGGTTGAGCTGAGCACAGATGTCATTAAGAGACATCAGAGAAGCTGGAACTTGTCAAAGGCCAAAGAATTCCAACATACTCTTAACAGCCTCTTTGTAAGATGTGTCTGGCTTGAAAAAGTCCCACTGGCAAACATGGGCCACTGTGGACCTAGCTGAATGCAATTTCAAGAAAGTAACAAAGAGATCAAATTGAATTCAAAGAATTAACAAAGGTACCTCTCAGTCAATGAATGACAGGTAAAAAAGTAGAGACAGTAGCTCTTTGTAGAAGTTTGATAGCTCTTTACAGAAGTCTAGAAGTAAAAGAAAGGGTAGAGATCATTCAACTGTGAGAGAAGAAGTGATGAGAAGATTTAGAAGAGACTGAACCTGCTTTATGCTCAGCAAAGGAGGCAGCCAGAGGGGAGAGAAAGGAGACATCAGAGACAGAAACTGTGCTGCATGGGAGAAGGTCAGAGAAGGTTGAAGGCATGAGGAGAAGAACTGACTATCTTTATTAGGATGGAAGGTGTCTTACTGTCCAGGAGAATGATGTTGATAAATGGCTTGTATGCAGGATCTTTAAAACCTCCACTGGTTTCCTGCCTGCATTTCTACAAGTATTTGGAGGATACTAACAATAAAGACATGAAAAGAGTCACTGACATAAAATCACAGACTTGAGTTCCACTCCTTCATTGCTGCAAGAACCAGGGAAATATTTCTTCTAAACACACTGTGCTTGTGTCCCTATGCTTGCAGTGAGGACACACATGCACACACACAATGCCTCCCTCTGTGGAAGGGCAGCTGAAGACTCAGTCAGGACACGGAGTAACATCAGACTATGGTTTGAATGCAAGAGCTTCCTCCAGCCAAGAAAGGCTTTCCTGTCATTGCCATCTAGGAAGGACAATACCACTTGGTTTAAAGCTTAGTGGAAGTGCACCATGTCAGAAGAGGATGCTGTGCCTGGCAGCATGACACTGGTTTATAATCTTAGCACTGGGTGGTTGGGGGCTCTGAGGCAGTAACGTCACAAGTGCACACCCAGTCTGGGCAACTTAGTGAGACCTTGTTTCAAAGTATAAAATAAAAAGAGTTAGGGATTTAGCTCAGTGAGTAGGCCCTAGGTTCAACTCCCAGTGAATCCACCCTTAGAAAAGTGTACATAGGGAACATGTACTGGGGCTATGCGCCCAGTTGGAAGGTAAGGATGGCTGAATCCTACGATCACAGGATGTCTAAGTCTGATGTGGTTGCAGAAGAAGCAATGCTGACTGTGTGTTCTGAGGTGGGTGGAAATTTTTGAACGGCTGATGGTGTTAGAAGAATCTCTTGGGGCTTCTGTGGTCCAGATTTCAGGAAGCAATCAGCAACCAGAGACTGTTTAGGAGGGCAAGTGAGAGTGTTCACTCCATAGCTGCATCCAAGAATGTGGAAAAAGGAAAACAGATGTGCACACATTAAAAAGGGAGGATTGGCAGGAGGGATTGGGGAGAATCTAGATATAGTTCAGGTTTGTTTATACATACTTGACTGAAGATATTCCATTATCTTCATCCAGGATATTTTGATTTCTGTCAGAGTAAGTATAAGTACAGGGACTAGATTGCCTGTGTGAGGGTAACAGGTGTTTATATATTAATATCTATAAATTACACACAATTTACTACACATTTAGTTCTGAGGGATAATTTTTATATTTGCTTCTGTTGACTAAACAACTGATAAACATTTTACATATTTGATCTCCTGTTCTTTAAACTATGGATTTACTTGTGTTCTTAATTTACCTATGAAAAAACAAGGTTTGTGAGAACTAGGCAACTTCCCTTTTAAATGTGTTTAAATCCTAGGTCAAGAGTCAAGGCCAGTGAAATCCAATCCCAAACACCATGTCTGAGGGGTGAATATTGAAGCCATCTTGATTTTTTCATCCTTTGGTGAGAGCTTATATAAGTTACTTTGTCATTGCTAAGTGATAGCACAAAATAATCACAATTTAAAGGAGGAGAGGATTATTTCAGCTCGTGGATTTTAGAAGATTCAGTCCATGGCTGATTGGCTGCAAGGCAGAAACAATATGGTGGAAAGGTTTGTTGGAGCAAAACCGCTAACGTCATGGAGGCCAGGGAGCAAAGAAAAAGGAAGAGAAGGTAAGGACAAGAACACACCCTTCTAGGTCACAACTGCAGTAGTCAATCTCCAACCAGACTCCACCTCCTGACCCCATATTCCATCAAGAATTTATCAGTGAATGGATCCATAGATGAGTACAGCATCCCAGATTCAATCATCTTCCATAAATGAGACTCGGGGGGCCTTTATAAATCTCAAAGAAGAGCTCCATTGGTGTGATACCTGGTTTCTTTCTCCCCTCTCCTGACTGAGATCTGAGAAACTCTAGGAAGAAGTAGTGAAGCATCCTTAGTTTCATCCTGTCCTCTGTCCATTTGGACACATCTGCCTGCCTAACCATCTTTTCCCTGCAGGTCCTGTTCTTGCCCTGGGTAGGTGAGAGAGTTTTGCTACATCTCAGGTCAGCAGAACATCTTTCCTTTTCTTCTGGCCTTTATCAAAGATGACAGGGAGGCTCCCATAATATGTCTATACCTTTCCTCTTCTATTTATGCAAAGCCTTGGGAGGGCCAATGGGTAGATACACTGGAGGTTGACTCTGAGATTTAACACTTGGATTGCCTTATCACTCTACTCCCTGCTGTAGTGAGGTGGGACATTCTGTGCCATGACTACATAGTGATTTGTGTGTCTTCAGTCTCATAAGTGACACTGGTATGGAAGGTCGGCCTCACATTGCCTTGGGTGATATCATTTGCCTGGGAATGAAACTCCCTGGTGTCACTTGGGTGAGTACAGAGGACCATCTGGGGGGATTCACTGAGACACTTGCCCTGGTCCACGATCAGTCTTGGAGTCCAAGCCAAGTGCAGCAGCCTCCACTGGTGGATGCTTCTCTCCACTTTGCCTGAGTCTCTACATCGCTATTAAAATATTAAAGGCAATTTGTAGAGCATTTTTCAATTGATACTGGAAATGCTGAGAAACCAAGACATCAGTGTGCAGTATTTGCTCAGGGCAGGTTTTCTCATATTTAATATTTCCACTCTGTCATTTTCCTGCATGCTTCTCTTTCATATAACCTTTAGCACTGTAATTTTCTTCTTTCGCAGAATCTTCGCCTTCACTAAACAGTGCATTAGAAGAAACTGAAATCAATTTATTTTACTCTGAATTTATGCTACATCAGAAACTTTATGAGATAAAAAACATTTTATTTTGGTTAGAAATAGCCAGCTGCTGTGAACAAAAGAATTGATTTTTAAAAAAAAAAAAAAGAAATGAAGAATGTAGCTAATACTGGTAGTATTGTGACCTGATTTTTATCGCTTTCTTTAGTATGTGGGACTGATATGTTAACACTACAAACTATTAGAGCAGTGAAAATTACTCTGGCTCCTGTGGTTTTGTGTATTTTCTCTGAATCTCAGAAAAGCCAATGTGTAGAAGTGCACTGGTGCTTGCTTGCTTGTTAGTCATTGACTTGGCAAGATGTCTGAGGGCAGAAAGATTACCATCTTGTCCTGACTTTGCAACCATTCTCTGTGAAATCATACTGACATACGCTTTTCAGTTTTAAAGGAAATCAACCTGCATTGGGCAAGCAGGGCTTTAGGGTGATACTAATAAAGATAGCAGGAGAAAACTTTTAGGAGGTGGTGGGTATGTTTATGGCACCGATTGCAGTGATTGTTTCATGGGTGTACTTATATTCAAAGTCATTAGCCTGTATACATGAAATGAATATAGATTTTTGGTATTACCATCATGTATTCATAACATGATTGTTGAAAAAGAGATCAGTTGTAGAGTACTTGCTTATCAAATGCGAGGTCCTACATTTTATCTCCAGTATGGCAGAAAAAAAAATTGCAATTTGAAGGTTAAATATCTTACTCTAGTAAATATATGCACCAAAAGTTTTATAAAAATTTGTACCCTTAACGGGGCTGGGGATTTAGCTCAGCGGCAAAAGCGCCTGCCTGGCAAGTGCAAGGTCGTGAGTTCAGTTCCCGGTACTGGAGAAAAACCAAAAAAAAAAAAAAAAATTTGTACCCTTAAAAGTAAAATGAGTCACTATAAAATAATTAAAATGAAAGCTACTAGCATTTTAGTTCCCTCTTAGTGTTTCAAATAATTATAGTGTGTTGAGGTATAATGTGTTACACTTTGTAAGATTTCTATGTAGTCCACTGTATTTTAGGAAAAATATGTAGAAGACAGCCAAATATGCTTCATATTTGTGAAGCGGCTATTTTCCCTTCAAGAAAACTGCTTTTAAAAATATTAATGACTTAGATAATAAAAGGTACTCCATAACAGTAAATAAAAAGAATAACTAAATACAAACATCAAAGATCTATATACAGAAGAATGTGATGAATTGCCAGGGATTTAAGTATTCAATAAAGAAAACAATTTCAGTGACCATTATCCCATACCTTTAATATTCACATGGTCATGTACATGTACAAACATGCTATTTATAAATATATATGTGTATAATGTATTTGGTGTATAACACAAAGATTGAAAATATATGTATGCATAGAGCAAGGAGTCTAAATTAATAGAATCGATATTGGAGTTATATCCTTACCAAAATATTTTTAAGATAAAATTCAATAACTGACTGCAGGTATGAAACCTCTAATAGTTATTGAAAAATGATAAATACCTATCTTGGGACAGGTGTTTAACCTCCTGGATTATTTGATAATGTACCAGAGTTAAGAGAAATAACAGCTCCCTAAAATGATCATACCCAAGTTCATGAGACACTGTGAAATTATTCTGTTACATGGCGAGAGGGATCTAGCAGATGAAATTAAATTTATGGAACTTCTTGTGGGGTGATTTATCCTGGATTATCCAGATGGGTGTTGTCAAGTCCCATGAGCTCTTAAAAGTGAGAACTTTCTCCATTTGGGGCAGAAAGTTGAGATGGATGGAAACACCTGAGAGATAGAAAACAAGAGAGAGATTTGACTGGCTTTGATGACAGAAGAGTCACAAGCCAAGGAAATCAGCTGTCTGTTAGAAGCTAACAGAAGACTTCCTTGCTTCATCCACCTGAAAATCATTTCTGCCAACAACCAGAACAACCCTGATGAGGATGCTCCATCAGCCAACCCTCCTGGATTTCATGTTACTCTACATGGTCATATGTTTGGTATTTTAAGTCTTCAAGTTTTTGGTGATTTAGCAGGGAGTTAACAGCAAAACAAATAACATACTACCAATATTTATTTTATGCTTCATTTCTTTCAGAGCAATTGGAATATTTAAGCAGTGTTGTTTGCCTTCCACTAAGAAATCTTTTATTCTTTTCTAAAAGAAAACACAGCCGTGAAAGCTTTAGTTAGGAATAACAGAGAGGCTTCCATAGCAGCGGATTTTCTGAGTGTAGGGAAGGATATAATACACAAGCTTCTCAAGTTTCAAGTCCAGGTACTGTTCCATAATATGAGAAGACAAAGTCGAGTTGCCTAAAATATTGAGTGCTTGAGTGCAAATCTAAAATAATTGTAGTATATTTGTGATATACTAAAAATATAATAAATATTTATATTTTTAGCTTTTCTTAAACATATCCATATTTAGATGAGGAGTTAATTTATAGTTCATTGATTGCCAACCAGGTTGCTTTATTTTCATGCAATGAATTGCCTTCCTTAGTATCTTAATCGATAAATCTGAATGTAACATTTCTCCTTTTTTTCTACCCTCTTAATTAGCAGCATAACACAATAGTATACTTATATTTTTTATACATTCCAAAAAGGAAATATTTTTGAACCTGTCAGGATACACATTTATAAATTTAGTTCTAAAATTTCCTAAAAGCACTTTAATTCCTTTAAATTCGATGAATACTGAGTACATACTATTTTGGTAGTCTGGTATTTTTTTCTACCAGTGACATTTTTTGGTTACTTTTCAGCATTTCTTCAGAACCAACAACTTAATTTCTCTTTATTGAATAAAACAATCAGTGCGGCTTGAGCTGAAATTCTCGTTCTTGGCTTCAAGAAAGGTGAAGCATTAGCACTGCCATCATGGGACACCAAAGGCATTGTCATCATTTGTATATAGTTGACATAACATTACAAACTTCCCTCCAGCCCTGTGCTTCCTCCCTCTCTCCCTCCCTCTCTCCCTCTCTCCCTTCCTTCCTTCCTTCCTTCCTTCCCTCCTTCCCTCCTTCCCTCCTTCCTTCCTTCCCTCTTTCTTTCTTCTTGGGTTTCCTTCCTTCTTTCCTTTCAGTGTTTATTAGAACCAACCTGACTGTGGAGGATTCTGAATTGCCTTTCTGAGGTGGAACCTGGTGCGTGACACGGGAGGAAGAAGGTCCTCTGCAAGTGACCCAGGTGATCTTCCAGAGGTGCCACTGGAGGTCATCCCTTCACACCCATTACTCAGTAGAGGCTTAAAAAATCCTTGTTCTCTAGTTTGAAACTGTCAGAAAAACTCAGAGCAAAAATACTTGCTGCAGGTGATATCCTTTGTGCAAATGAAAATGTCTTGGCCACCTGAAATGCTAGAAATGACACAGAAAGTTCTTTTATGATATTACAGTTATTTTCCTTTTGACTGTAGATTGAATCTTGAAACTATGGAGATCACAAAATGAAAATCCAGCTAAGAAATCACAAGCAATATTCTTCCATAGACTCAACCAAATTAGCGTATATTGCATTATATTCATGCTAATAAATGAAAAACAGGTATTATTTGCTTTACATCTTTAAATTTACTTTTATTGATACATGCTTGCAGTACATGCAGTTTATAATCATCTTGGGGAGTGGGCACACGTACATTACACAATTCGCTTCTTCTTTTAATCTCCTTCCCTCCCCCATCGCCCTTCTCCTTTAATTTCCCTTTCCCTTTCCCTCCCATTTCATTCTTGTTGATACTACTAATTTTAACTCATGTTTATGGCAATGATGTTTACACTCACCGAGGTTATTAGATTCTTGTTCATGGCTTATCTTTATTCTACTTACTTCCCTTTCCTTCCTCCTCACCCCTTGTCCTTAATCTCTTGGACCCCTTATTCCCAAGGGCAGCAACAGTCCCTGTACAGAGTTGCACAACAGACCAAGGACAGAGGCCAGGGTCACAGATAAAGTGAATCCTGGGGCTCTCTGAAGCCTGGGCTTGAAGTCAATGTCATCGGCATAGGGTCTACACCTGTTGTGCCACCGCTGGCAGCTCTTGGCCTTGGCTGACAGGGCAGCAAACCAGCTTTCTAATGTGAGCCATGATGCTGCTAGAACAAGGGAAGATGTCTCAAAATGCTAACAAACACTTCCATAGGGAGATTCAATAGTTTACAACTTGAACAGTGCAGGCTGAAAGCCTGGAGAGGAAGCTTTGAGTCCTTCCTCCTTGCCTGAGGTTCTCCTCCCAGAAATGTCTCAATGGTCAGTCCAGCTTCTTTTTACCCATCTATGCCCTCTCCTAAGTGAGTACATTTCCTTCTCTACGCTAAATCATGCAATGAAAGACAATGATTTGGGGGTTGGCAGGTACTGCTACTCATTTCTCAGGGAGATTTGTAGAACAGGCAACTGTTGTGGCCCATCCTTCCCTGTCCACATGGGTCCTCAAAGCCTCCTGTGAAAGGAGGATTCCCAGGGGAGGAGGGGTGAGCTCCCTGTGAGGATGAAGTGCTGCAGTCAGGCTCAATGGCTAGAGCTTTCAGACCTGCTGCCTGGGCCCCGCTATGGGCAGCTCCGCAGGACAAAGTGGAGGCAGCAAACTGAAGAGTCTGTTACGTCATGCCAAATTGTTGCTCCAGTTGTTGCAATAAGTTCATGGAAGCAGAGTCTAAAATTAACAGCTTTTCTGAATCATTTCTTTTCCAAGTTATTAGCCTGAAGAGCTAGGTGTCACACATCCTGAGAGCATGGAAGCCCCTTGGGACAGGACGAGAGAGGAGCAAAGAGAGAAGATGCTCTCCATTTCACACGTCTTTCCATTGAGAAGGGTCTTGTGGTGGTCAGCTTTCCCGACACTGAGACCCAGGGCTGACTCCTACAACTTAAAGGAGGAAGAGGCTTAATTGGGCTCACATTAAGGGGCTTCAGCCCATGGTTGGCTGTTCCAAGGCAGAAGCTTTGTGGAAGGGCGTGATGGTGGAGGAAAGATGCTTCATTCATGGTGGCTGGGAAGCGGAGCAGCAGAACAGTGCCAGAATGGATGGTGTCCTGGTTCATCTCCCCAGTCCCCACAGTCCCACCTCCATGACTAGCCTGTACACACTCAGATGTGTGCTTTACAATTCCTGGGGTGTCTGCGAAGCCAATCAAGTTGACACATTTAAGTTTTAACACCAAAGAACCCCAGGGGTGATTTGGAGCCGCAGCAGAGATACAGATGCTTCAGAAGGAGGATGAGAGCAGGCAAAGGGAGTCCCACTGACAAGGTCCTATTTCTGCTTTTCAGGGTCAGCCCAGCAAGTTTCCAGGCTCCTGGGGCAGAGTGGAGGCTCAGCAAGACACGCACACGGGTACCGGGTGAACTGCAGAGTCCACGTTCCCTGGGAAGGTGCTGAAGTGGGTCTCATCATCTCCCTTCTCCCTGCAACTCCTCCGTCCCCTGTCCACACCAAGACAGCCATCACACACACACCGTCGTGATCACACACTCGCATTGGGAAGCACACCCACTCAGTGCTGCTCTCACACCTCCACATCCACCATGAACACACATTCACAAATGCCCTCTGTCTCCTACACACCCACACTCACTCTCAACTCATTGTCTGCTCGCATACAAACTCACACACATTTCAGACTCTCTTTTCTTTTTTCTTAGCACAGGTTTGTGTGTAGTAAGTAATGTTTACACTCCATGTGTGGGCTGACACAGGTGTGCAGCAATCTCATTCTTTTATTCATCCCTTTTCCCACCCTCTCCATTTCTCCATCCCCTTCCTACTTGAGAACAATTTCTCCCCTACTTCCTACCATCTATCTATCCGTCCTTTGTCTGTAACTTGGGTTTCTCGTATAAGAGAAAGTATGTAGTGTGTGTGTCTGATTTATTTCACTGCACATTATGGTCTTAAGGTACATCCAGTTTCCTATGCGTGATTTAAGTTTTTCTTTCTTTTTGGCACAGCAGTTCTCCATGGTGTCTAATGACCACGTTTTCTTTATCCAGTCATTTGTGTTGGTAGTATAGGCCATTCCCAAAATTTAGCTATTACAAATTGTGCTGTTATAAAATGGGTATGCATGGGTCACTGTAAATATGATCACTTTAACTCTTTCAGGAAGATACCTAGAAGGGAAATAGCTGGATGGAATGGAATTTCCAGTATCACTGTTTTGAAAAATGTTCTATAGGTGTACACACTCTCACAGCCACTTCTCATAAATGCATGCACACACACACACACACACACACACACACACACACACACACACTTCCCTACTCTGAGGACTCATCATCAGCCAAGAGTCTCAGCCCCAGCTGGTGGGGACTGACCCTGTCAAATGCTGTGGACAAAAGGGCAGCTGAGGTCTCACTCTGATAATTGCACTGTGATTATTGCATGTAGCATCCTTTGTGAGCATGGCAGCAGTGGGCTAGAGAAGACGTGGGTCAGCCATGTGTGTGCAGCTTCTCACTGTGATGCTCTATCAACTGCAATTGTTTCATGAATCAACAGCTGTATTTGTTGGGGCACTTGGGAATTAAATGGCTTTGGCAATTTCGTCTCCTGTCAGTCTTCAGGTGCAAGCTCCAGGCGGTCTTGCCCTTGGAAGGGTTATTACTTACACATGGACAAGAGCTTTTTTCCAAAAGCCTCTGAGAGCTGTGTGTGCCCCAGTCTTGGGTGAATATTTTTGTTCCCACCCACGCAAGGAGAAACCAGGCTGTGCGTCCCAGAGAGGGAAGGGGTCTCCACTGGGAATTTGGACAAATACCTACAGGGCCTTGCTGCACCTCACCACCCAGGTGGATACAGGGATGGCCCCATCTTCACTCCTTCACTTCACCTTTCCACACAGATGCTGACAGTAGTTGAGGCCCCAGCCCAAATCTCAGGCTCCAGGTCAGTAAATAAGAGCAGCTACCTGCCAGAAATCAGGCAGGGCAATTGTCCTTCTACACCACGTGCCTCCCTGTTTCCTACAGTCTCCAGATCTCAAGTCTAACCTTGTGGGGTATTGCAATTGCCTTTTTATTGTGAGTCCTCTAGTACTCGCTCAGTGTGTCCATGTTCTCTGTGAGGTGGGGCAGTCCCTTGGCCTCTGCCCTTGGTTCCAGGGCAGGGCATCCTGGGCTCACAGTATGGAAGGACTGCTGGTGCCTCCTACAGCTGAACAAGCAGCAAGATAACCCAGCAGCGCATAAGCTCTAGAGGTGGGGCAAAGGCACCAGGAGACAAAGGCTGCAGTGAATGGAACCTTGGATGTGCGTGCTGGAGTGACTGCAGCAGAGGGCACTGGCTGAAGTTCATCACAAGACTCTGTAGGGTTGTGCAGGGTTGTTTCTTACCACTCCTGGGATTCACAGTACAGTATGCATCCATGTGATAGCATTAGCTGAACAAAGACCATGCCGGGGTCCAGATCATTTCTTTCAAAAAGAGATGATTTTAGCCTAGAAGCCAGAATATGATGTTGACAGCCATCTTTCTCAGCTGTTGAAACTTGAAGAGATTAAACAGATTTCCATAAAAGCAGTTGTTTCTACTTATATCCTGAACACATTTACAAGCTAATCAAAGGTCATATTTTACAAGACAGAAACTGAGTATTGAGGCCACTGGTGCAGTGCTCTGCATCCCGCCCACTCCTTGATGATGGTGGATGATAGTATCTGCCATGGAGTCCCTGGATGGTACTTGTGGGTGCAGAAGGAAAGCTGGGCCATCCTCGGGGTTGTTCCTCAAGACCTGAGAGGTTGGATTTTGTCATTTAGCTGAGGCGCCTGCTGCCCTTGGCTGAGGAGACCGTGGCCGGCCCTGAAGAAATGTCAGCACCCCAGAGGACCTTTCCTCCCAAAGTGACACAGCTGTACCCTCAGCCAACAGAGAGAACTTTGCACGAAGAAAATGAGCCTTTGGCAGATTTCCCGTCTTTCAGCTGGAGAGGCGCTGCTCTGCCTTCAGTTCATGGTGCTGTCTACACCGAGATGGCACATTCAGCTGAAAACACAAATCACTTCAGATTTCCATCTCCATAAAGAATAAAGACAAAAACAAAATCAAACCCCTTAAATACACGGTGGTGCACAGTGTGACAACTTCGTTAGGTCATCCAAGTCCACGCTGCACCTTCCCCTGAGAACAGAGCTCCGAGTGAGCGCACGCTTGCCTGGCCTTCCCTCCACTGCGAACCTGTAACCATTCTCTTGTCCTGATCCTCACGGCCTTCAGAGGACCAGCAGGTGACAGCACGTGTCCTCCACAGCCACAGGCGGGCTGGCTGACGTGGGGCCTCACCTGACCTCACCTGGTTCCTGCCGTGCATGGTGCCTCGAGCTTTTCTCCAGTGTGATGTTGTCTCTGCAGCCCTGGACCGTCCCCTTCCTGTGATTCCAATCGGACAGGGCCCCTTTCTTCCCCACTCAAACTGTCGCACAGAGTTTCTCTGTGTTTGGCAACAGCAGCTGCTGGGTTTCCTGAAAAGGAGCTTCAGTCCTGCCGCAGATAAACCGTTTGTCTTGTCTGGCAGCCAAGTTAAACAAAGAGATACTTTTAGACCATTTCTTGGAATTGCTCTTTTTCTCTTGACATTGAGCTTTGTAATCATGAGGCGTTAGATACTTGGGGGTTTAACACAGGCCTTGGGGCTTCTGAGGGTTCCAAAGAGATTCCTGTGTCCAGTCATGAGCAGAGATCCAGGTCAAAGGACGGAACAGACCTATTCATTGGGGATAATTTACACCAGGCAGTGTGCTTTACAGCGCTTCAAGGAGACGCCTCCTCATTTGTGAAACTGTTAAATAGCATTTCTAGTTTCAAGATAAGCCGCTTGTGTCCTTGATGATTATTTTATTCAGGATCTGGTAGACTCTGAGCACTAGTCTGGCCACTCATTTTCTACCAATGAAATAGTAGTTCCTAATTTTCATCTAATATGCCAGTGCTGAGAAACATTTTAGGTACTTAGTTCTTTACTGGAAGCAAAAAATAATAACGATCAGTGCCCATCTTTCTTCCTGCTTCCTCCCAAAAATTATCAAATATTTCAAAGTAGTGAATAGATTCCCTTGCTTCCTGGATCCTTGTGTGACGTGTCAGCTAATCTTAGCTGGCACAAAGCACTGAAGGAAAACCTTACACCCCCTTAATGTCACACTTAACTTATCTACCTTCCAGCACATAGGAAGTAACGAGTAACGCACGCCCAGAAAGCTACAAGGGACACCGAACTGTGTCAGTCTTCCTAGCTTAGGGATGGTTTGTTGCCCACTAAGAGATGATCTGGCACCACTTCATAAAAGCTCTAGGGGGAGAATATGTGTATGATGATTATGAAGGTCACTTTGGATCTGGTCTAGTGAAAATACAGTACTCATCCATACAATTTGTCAACAGCTTAGTAAGTGTTCTTTAAGCTTTTAGTTTTGGCAAATACATATGTAAATGGGGTCATAAATTTCCTAAGTTGACCTTCAACCCATTATGATCCCTACATCTGTCATATGAGCTTTCTTGAAATCTCACTGTCTTGAAAAGCATAATAGCAGATTCAGATAGCCTGTGGCACCCAGAATCCAAGTTTGACTGTGTCCTAAACTGTTAGTAATTTTTAATTTTTGATTCCTTAAAAACTTAAAAGTGTTCTTTGCATCTTTGAATTGTTTTATAGAACATAATTTTTGACCAACTTCATGTGACTCAGACCAAAACAAAGAAGGCAGTGTTTCGATACTATCATCTTAGAATCATGGCATTTAATGTCAAAAGGCAGCATGGACATTGTTTAATCTAGAGCATTCCTGATCCTCCAACCCATCTTTCATACTCTGTAGAGAATGACACTTTATATTTGGGAGCAAATTTAGTTATATCTGGCCCTTAATAAAAATCTCCAATAGTTTCTCAGTGATACAGACCAAAGCCTTTAATGTAAGTATAAATTTTCTACATGCTGCTTTCATATATCTGCTATTCAATAAAAATATGTCAAGTCCAAATTCCAACAAAAGTACACATGTCTTTATTTCAAAACAATTACAGACACTAAATACTGAAGACAATATAACTTATAGGTGTGGAATAATAACTATCTATATGAACAGCAAAAGGGAAAAATGAAAGTAAGAATAATATAAATTTTGCTTCATAAAATGACATATTTTTTTAAATTAATAAGTAATTAGAATGGATGAATAAAATGAAGTGAAAAATAGAAAGGAAATATTTAAAATATGTGGCATAATGCAGGATTCTCAAAAGTGATACAGAAAAAAAATAGCAAAACTACCTAATAGATAATTAACAAATGGTATGAACAGGCATTCATAAAACAGATAGGAAAGGCCCCAAATGGAAACTGTTATAAGCCTGTCCAGTCACCAGAATTATAAACATTCAGTGAGCCATTTTCTCACACCTCTTGATCAAACTGAAAAACAAAATTAAATCCAAAAACCTAAATTACCTTGAAAAATCTGGTAGTGACAGTACTGTAGGGAGACAGCCCTCCTCTACCCAATTGCAAATAGCTCGTCAAAATGTTGTCAGTGACACACAGTTGCTGTTGGTGGTTTTCTCTAAGAGGGTCTTTGGAAAGATCATGGAAGGTGCAATGGAGATTCTAACACTCCCCATATTTTTTTATTGTTTGACTTTTTAAAAATAGCAAATATGTATTCTTGTAATTTTTATTATTTTGTGCAATTAAAACACAATAAGACCTTTAGATATGAATAACCATACCCCACGGGGTCATAAAATTTATGAGAGACCAAAGCAGAATTTGATTCCAATTATCTCCCACCAAAGGACAATCTTTCAAGTGATACTTACTTCACTTCTGCAATTCTCTGTATCTGATAACTCAGTGTCGCCTATGCTTTGTTGGGGTTTAAAACAAGATCATTAGAATCTTAGAACACCCACATAATAATTGTTCCCTCAGTCTGGGGCTGGATATCTTCTAATAATTCCTTCCTGATTCAGGATTCCCTATTTCCTTTAAATTTACAGAAACACAGAGGTTCAAAGAGTGCACCACTTTGATGCTACTCTTGCAAGCAGAGGAGAGAAAACAACAAATCCAAGGGCCTCTTGCTGCCCTGTGATTCTTAGAGAAACCAGGGATGGATTTTTGGAGGCCAGAACAGCTTGGCTTCGGACTCATGCAGACAATCAGGTTCATTGTAATTACAGGCAACACAGCGGGAATGCTCATTGTGGCATTTGCTTCCCAAAGTGAGCAGCAGGGTCCTTGTCCTTCCTGGAGCAATTGTAGCTGTGGCCCTCAGAGGGAGTAGGGGCCACCATCCAACTCCTGGCTCTGGGAGGAGACCTCCCCCATACACACCGTCCTCACTTCTCTTTCTACACACACGGGGGCTGGGGATTTAGCTCAGCGGCACAGAGCCTGCCTGGCAAGTGCAAGGTCGTGAGTTCGGTTCCCGGTACCGGAAAAAAACCAAACAAAAAACCAAACAAAAAACATACACACACAGAATCCAGCCTGTGGAGGAGCATGAGCTCCCTGCCAGGTGCTACTTCCTCCAGCTTTCTGCACTCCCTCCCCAACTCTCCCAGTGGAAGTTGTGCAGTCTTCTCATTTGCTTTCTCTAGAGCTGCCGTTGCTGAGAGCAGGGGCAGGAAAGGCTTCAAATTCCTCCAGTCTATTCTTGATTTTAGGCTTGCCTCTAATTCTTCTAGCTAGGTATTTTTTAAATTATGGTATTCTGTCCTTGTTTACTTTCAGTTTTTAACCAGGGTTACAAAGTAAATTATGCTCTTTAATTGATAGGTTCTGAGTTACTTAGGATGCTGATGTATGTTCTGTTATATGCAGAATTTTGTCTTCTTTGTTATATTCAAAGTCATTTTAGTGGATGCCTTGTATGGACGTATGACTTACTTTTACTTGAAATAATGCAGTAATACTTGCGTTATTATAAAATAACATTTTCTTGGGTTTCTAGCCATGTCTGTGCTTGACATGGGCAGTATGGGGAAGCACCAGATGTCAGTAACAAAGATGACTGTTGTCCTTCAGAGAAAATGGGTTTCTCTTTGGGTCTTGATGGAGATTGGGAGGACATCTTTTCCATAGCACTTTCTCCTGATCTTGGGATACTGGTTAGTCAATCCAGATTAGCAACCACCTGTAATCTGGCAAGGGGTGATTTATCAGCCACTTACTGCTAATTAGAATGGCTTGATAACACTTGTTTGTTACTATACAGTGAAGTGTTACCATTGGAAGCAGTGCTTCCTCACTCATGCTCTAACACTCTCTCATGAGTAGATAATAAGGGTTGCTTGCCAGCCTTGAAACTGTGTGTGATCATACTCCCTTTCCAGATGGCAGAAAAGGCTATGATTTATCTACTTTAGGATTTCCTTAGAAGCCCACTAAATGCCTGCTGTACCCAAGAGTCATGTTCTGTGCTAAGCAGATGGAAAGTCTGCTGCTCAGAGGGGCAGAAAGAGGAGACAACAAAGACACAGCATGACTATCGCAGCAAAAGCTGAGTGGGCAAGGCTCCTGTAGGACCCCCAACTCTGCCCCAGTGAAGGTCAACAAAGTTGTCTTGGGGGAAATGAAGAGTGAACTAGGTTGGGGGAATAAATCAGAATGAGCCAGCCTGAACTGGGCTGGGGAAGGAGGGAGAGATCTGCAGGAGACTGTTCATGGGCTCTGGGCAACATCTCAGCAAGAGCCTGGGACACAAAGTACTCCTGTACGCTGGACATGGCGGCACTCAGAACACTCAAGATATGTATGTCTGAGGTCAGAACAAATTTCCACTCAGTACCAAGAGGATCTCAGCCATCCTATGACAGGAATGCCAACCCTCCATGTATTCATTCTTCCTTGAATCCTGTGTCTCTAGCTACACATGAAATACAATTTTATTTCCTTGTAAGTAGGAGTTCTTTGACTTTTAAAGGATAGAGCTTTCTGAGCAAATTCTGACCCATCTTCCTGTCCTTGTCATGTAAATACTTGCTATTTATATTTAGAGCATAGCTGATTAGTGGTCAGAATGAGGATCAGGATTGATATAATTGTTTTTGCATGTCCTGGCCTTTGCAAAAATTGCTAAAAAGCTTCTCTGTGCTTCTAAGGAGTCCAGGGACCCTTTGAGGCCAGGGGGTAGAAATAGGAAAGTCCATCTTGTGACGTTTGTAGACTTGTTACCACTTGGTGTTTTGCTGGGAGCTAACAACTTTGATGTACATTAATTGATGGTCTTTCTTCATCTAGGCTAAAATTTAGCCAATGCTTATAGACAACCTTGTGTCTCTTCCCATTACAGGACAGTTGACAACGAGAAATTCTTCCTGCCGTCCACTGTAGGTAGAAAACTAGAAACGAAAACTGGTTTATAAGAGAGAAAAACAAGCAACAATATCCCAGCAAAATGCTTGTCCTG